GATTGTAGTCCCAACATCAGTGTTAGTGTTCCTTGCCCCGACATATTATACTCGTCAGCTGTCGTTGGACTTGTGGTTTCGCATGGATTTCGCCTGCCGCACCATCGCTATTTTCTCTTCTTTTTCATATATGCGGACGCCCTTCTACACCTCTACGTTTCGGTAACTGCATATGTGATTGATACACCCACCAGGTTCGCACAGGAGGAATGTTCCACCTCTCTTTCCTCATACAGCCCTTGCCATCACTCTGGAGAGATTGCAACCCGTTGCGTAGCTGCGCAGTACACCGCACATCCCACGCGATGCACTACCAGCACGTTTGAAGGTTGCACGAGACCACCAACTCAATCGCTCGTCCAATACAACTGCAGCTCGGCAACATCTCTGATGGTTGGAAAATGTGGTCGAGACGGATGGAACGGTTACCAAGGTTCATGAACCAAACCCAAATAATGAATCCCGCGTTTACTCAGAACAGCGTCCCGGACTCTGTAGAAGAGCTTCTTTCATGGCGTCCCTCAGTTCATTCAGGGGCAAAACGACTGGCACACCTGTCTATCAATTGACGAGGCTTGTCTTTCCCCAAAACAGCGCATGGGAAACCATAAGCAACCCCAATCCTTTGTCAATGTCTTGAACTTTATAAATTATGACGTATGCACCTCCCGATTGCTGAATCACATCACGCATCAGCTCTCCGCTCTGAACATAATCCCGTTCACACTGGACATCAGGACGTCAGGTCATTGGAATTTAATTTGAACTTGTCATGTGAACGGAGTCGTGAACCGTTGGAATGATCTGTCACCGCCTCCTCTCAGTTTGTCACCCGCCTTGAAAATAGTTTCAGTACGTCAATCCTTGTCTCTGTTTTGCCTCTTTTCCCTCCTTCCCTTTCCCTGCTGCCACCCACCCCCACTAATTTACCACAGCGCGTTCAACGGCGCCGCCGTGGCCACCCCGGCGAAGTCGTCCTCGGCCATGAAGATGTCGTTCGAGTCGGAGATCGGCGCGCAGCCCCCCCTCGGATTCTGGGACCCGCTCGGCCTCCTCGAGGACGCGGACCAGGAGCGGTTCGAGCGCCTCCGGTACGTGGAGGTGAAGCACGGGCGCATTGCTATGCTCGCCATCGCCGGTCACCTGACCCAGCAGAACACCCGCCTCCCCGGTATGCTCTCGAACTCGGCGAACCTGTCGTTCGCGGACATGCCGAACGGCGTGGCCGCTCTGTCGAAGATCCCCCCGGCGGGCCTCGCCCAGATCTTCGCGTTCATCGGCTTCCTTGAGCTGGCTGTGATGAAGAACGTGGAGGGCTCGTTCCCCGGAGACTTCACCCTGGGCGGCAACCCGTTCGGGTCCTCGTGGGACGCGATGTCGGAGGAGACCCAGGCGTCGAAGCGCGCGATCGAGCTGAACAACGGGCGCGCGGCACAGATGGGCATCCTGGCCCTGATGGTGCACGAGGAGCTGAACAACAAGCCGTACGTTATCAACGACCTCCTCGGCGCGGGGTACACCTTCAACTAGATTACTAGTCCGTGCGTCCTTCCGACTTTTTGCACCGGGTATGTTGCTGGGGACGCTCTGTGAATAGCGGTGTTGTGTTGTAACATTATTTTTGTGGTTTTGTTAGATGCTGCGATGGGGGGCAGGGACGCCTCTCCCTCCCTAGATGGTAGCCGAATGATGCTATGATGGCGGCCGCGTTCAATGGTCATTTGGGCTCGTAGAAACGGTGTCATGTCGACTGATGTAGAACATACCGACCGTGTAATCCGTAGATGGTTCGTATCGCACACCCTCGTGCGTGAGGCGTGCGGTTACTGTTCGGACGGGAGGGGTTAGGAGATTGGGGCCCTTTTTGTTGGTGTTTGTGTCGGCTGCGCCTGGTGTTACGACGCTTTGGCCTGGTGGGTGGTGCCGGTTGTTGCTGTTGCCCGTTTGCCATGTTGGTTTCGTCGAGTCGTCGTGTCAGGCTTGACCATGATGCGTACACTCGAGAGGCGTGCTGCATCGATCGTAGTTGTTCTCTGAACGGGGTATGTCCATGAAAACAATAATTTGATTCCAATACCCACACAAGCTTGCACTGATGTGCTTGCGAACACTGTCCTCTTGTGTGTTCCGTTTGGTGTAACCTGGCGATGATGGTGCTTGAAGTTTAGCACACCTCCTGCAGATATACTAGCGCGTGAGGAGGATTTGACAGACAACAGATTGTCTTGGATATTTGGTCCATGGGCTGTGCCCCGCCATTCATGAAATGGCCTTTTTTGAAACAGCTTACTCGTATCACGAAGGGATGCCGCATCTCCCCTCCTTTACTATCTTGGAGGGCGAACACAAAGATGGAGCTGGTTAACCTTCTGCCATACTTATCACACACGACATGCTGTGGCGCCCAACAACGATTAGATGCTTCGTATTGGCGACCTCGGTCCGAAGCGTAAGGCGACAACGTGTACGTGCCGTTGACGTTGTGGACACATGCACCGGGTACGTTGCGTGTCGAGGCGCATCGTGCACCGGCAGAGTCGCACAGACTACTTGCCATCGCTAATCGAGTGTCTTGATACTGGGTGGTGAACTCCCGTGATGAGGTGATTGTTTTCAGTCTTCACTCGAGGACAATTTTGCAGGCTCCCTCCCTAACGTGTGCTCACGAGCCACACAATGAAAGTTGGAGCGGAGGATGTCGGTGGTGAGCTCTTGTTCTTAGCAGCCTCTCACACATACATACATAGAGCGGGCCAGCAGTTAAGAAACTTCTGCTAAGAATAATAGGCTCAAAGTTTTGCGAAAATTAAGGAAAAAGGGCTAAGAAACAATGCTCAATCTCGGCCACAACATAAGAAACGTCCAAATCAGAAACATGACGCCCAAGACATAACGAAACAAAAGGTGTAGCTGGAGGAGGAGCGTATGTATCCAGTAAGAAACGTCCCACTGCTGCTCCTCCTCCATCCTTTCTCCCACCCCCCTACCTTGCTGAAGAACATTGTTTTTGGTAGGGGGGAGACTCGGGGAGAGTGGTTTTTGGGGGGGTTTTCGCCACACCGAGCTCTCGTTTCTGGTTAATTATGCGGCGCATGTATGTATGTATGTGTTGTGTTGTTGTTGTATAATGTAGAGTGGCCGCTGGCTTGATGGAATTGCTCAATTTATTGGGCAGTGGCGCGAAACGACAACAATATTTTGCTCTCCGTACCGATAATGTGTGAATACAACGGCATCGTCCAAGCTGACTGCGTGCTGTCGTGTACAAGGAGTAAAAAGGTATAACCGACGGGTGGTGCCAGCGTGCTAGCCAGAGAACTAAAATAACTGCTGGTGTTGCTGCACTGCTGTGTGTACTGCGCTCACATGTTCAGACTGACTGTGCTGCAAACCGCGGGCACACTGCTTAGAGCCAAAGGAATTCTGTGCGTCAGAGGTCACGCGCATGATCCTATCTCGGAAATCAGGCCGAGAGATAGCGGGAGAGGGAGAAGAGGCGACGCAAAGGGAGAGCTCCCGGATCGGTGTTGGTCGAAAATCGTCCCCCAAAAGATGACGAAACAACTGACACGCAAATAAATCCGTGTGACATGTCATGACGTGGACACACAGGGACTTGCGACTCGGGCGCTGGTGAAGGAAAAGAGAGAGAGACCCAACTGATTCGAATCTCAGAGCGCTTGGCGCAAAAACACTACTGTACTGCCACCCTGGCTTCGCAAGAAACACAAGCCGACAGGATGTCAACAACGGCGAAGTACATCCCCCGTCCCCCGTCGCGCAAGTTTTCTATGAATGCGGCGGAACTACTGTAAGTGCGGACAGTCCCGCGGCCTGTGATTGGCCGAGCTGTAGTTGATGTCATCTGTCCCGCGGCTACGCTTCTACACTTCTACACGTCTTCTCGCAGATTTGACAGCCCACGCCCCCGCCGCCTCCGTTCACTCCGGTTGCTGCCCACCACACCTCTCCCACACCCACTCTCCTTTCCGCACCACCACCTCTCAACAAGATGAAGTCCTGCGTTGTAGCCGCTGCCTGCGTGGCCGGAGCCCAAGCCTTCGTGGCACCCAGGTGAGAGCAGCTGTTGGAGGCGAGCTTGATTCGCGTGCCTTGCTGTTGTTCTTGTCATGGGTAGATACATGTGTGTAGGTCGTCGTGGTGTTGTGATTCTATCGCATGTGTTCCTCGTCTCCCATCGCCCAAGCCCCTCTCCTGGTATTGGGGAGCCCGCTGCAGTTTGTACAGAAAAAATCATGCGCAGGAAAGTCCGTAACCTCCACAGCGTCTTTGTTTCGATTAGTTGTCTTGATTGGGAAAGAAACTGCTGTGTACAATGTACATACACACATGTGTTGTTGAGAAGCACGGTGGCCACTACGCCACTAGTCAGCCGCCACTAGTCAGCGCTGACTAGTGGTGTAGTGGTCATTGTGCTTCTAAAAACAAGTTAAGGCCCGTGTCCGGCCCGGCTGACAATGGTCTAGTGGTCACCGTGCTTCTCAACACGTTCCATCAAAATGGGAAAGAAAGGTGCACTTATACCATCCTTTCTTCTCCCCATGTGCTCCTATACAACTTCTACAATGTACCGGTAGTAGCAGCTTGACAGCAGCGTCTCGGGGCGTGGCGTAGGGTATTGGTACAGCGAGTTATCAAATGAAACAGGGAAGAGCATCCATCTGCGTGTGCGTACCTGCTTACTCGTGCCTCGCTTGGTCCCACACAAGCACGACGTAGCCACCCGACAAACGGGGGCAATCAGTGCTCAGGAGGGAAGATTTCATGCCGCTGCGCCACGCCCGAGCTGCCGATTCCACGAACCAGATTGTAGTCCCAACATCAGTGTTAGTGTTCCTTGCCCCGACATATTATACTCGTCAGCTGTCGTTGGACCTGTGGTTTCGCATGGATTTCGCCTGCCGCACCATCGCTATTTTCTCTTCTTTTTTCATATATGCGGACGCCCTTCTACACCTCTACGTTTCGGTAACTGCATATGTGATTTGATACACCCACCAGGTTCGCACAGGAGGAATGTTCCACCTCTCTTTCCTCATACAGCCCTTGCCATCACTCTGGAGAGATTGCAACCCGTTGCGTAGCTGCGCAGTACACCGCACATCCCACGCGATGCACTACCAGCACGTTTGAAGGTTGCACGAGACCACCAACTCAATCGCTCGTCCAATACAACTGCAGTTCGGCAACATCTCTGATGGTTGGAAAATGTGGTCGAGACGGATGGAACGGTTACCAAGGTTCATGAACCAAACCCAAATAATGAATCGCCGTTTACTCAGAACAGCGTCCCGGACTCTGTAGAAGAGCTTCTTTCATGGCGCCCCTCAGTTCATTCAGGGGCAAAACGACTGGCACACCTGTCTATCAATTGACGAGGCTTGTCTTTCCCCAAAACCGCGCATGGGAAACCATAAGCAACCCCAATCCTTTGTCAATGTCTTGTACTTTATAAATTATGACGTACGCACCTCCCGATTGCTGAATCACATCACGCATCAGCTCTCCGCTCTGAACATAATCCCGTTCACACTGGACATCAGGACGTCAGGTCATTGGAATTTAATTTGAACTTGTCATGTGAACGGAGTCGTGAACCGTTGGAATGATCTGTCACCGCCTCCTCTCAGTTTGTCACCCGCCTTGAAAATAGTTTCAGTACGTCAATCCTTGTCTCTGTTTTGCCTCTTTTCCCTCCTTCCCTTTCCCTGCTGCCACCCACCCCCACTAATTTACCACAGCGCGTTCAACGGCGCCGCCGTGGCCACCCCGGCGAAGTCGTCCTCGGCCATGAAGATGTCGTTCGAGTCGGAGATCGGCGCGCAGCCCCCCCTCGGATTCTGGGACCCGCTCGGCCTCCTCGAGGACGCGGACCAGGAGCGGTTCGAGCGCCTCCGGTACGTGGAGGTGAAGCACGGGCGCATTGCTATGCTCGCCATCGCCGGTCACCTGACCCAGCAGAACACCCGCCTCCCCGGTATGCTCTCGAACTCGGCGAACCTGTCTTTCGCGGACATGCCGAACGGCGTGGCCGCTCTGTCGAAGATCCCTCCGGCGGGCCTCGCCCAGATCTTCGCGTTCATCGGCTTCCTTGAGCTGGCTGTGATGAAGAACGTGGAGGGCTCGTTCCCCGGAGACTTCACCCTGGGCGGCAACCCGTTCGGGTCCTCGTGGGACGCGATGTCGGAGGAGACCCAGGCGTCGAAGCGCGCGATCGAGCTGAACAACGGGCGCGCGGCACAGATGGGCATCCTGGCCCTGATGGTGCACGAGGAGCTGAACAACAAGCCGTACGTGATCAACGACCTCCTCGGCGCGGGATACACCTTCAACTAAACCACCCACCCACTCACTTTTGCATTGCCGAAGTAGCGAAGACTTGAACGTTTTAGGTTGGTTTTGACTAGAGTGTTTTCCCAGCATTTTGTCGGGATTGTAGAATAGACAGACAGACGTGTACAGACGCAATAATCATTTTACGAAGCGGTGCTCGATGTTTGGCAGGACAGCGCGGTAGCTTTGATATCGAAGCGAAACTGATCCGGTGGGTATTGAAGATTGGGCCGTGGTCAAGCCTAGTTCTTCGCTCCCTGTTTTGTCGTGGACCCGAGGACTCTGTTTTCCTGTTGTGTTATTCCGTGTGGAGGTTGTTCCAGGCTTGCGTTCGATGTTGGTGAATGTTGTGCCTGTTTTGGTTTGTTTTCGCCTTTTTGGGTGATTTCACGCGTGAACAAAAATAACACATGGAATTTCGTGATTTGTGGACGTCCGTGCTGCTGTACATCACCATGAACGTTGGTGTTCTCTCCGTTCTTTTGCAGCGTGAGTGTCATGTGCAAATGAGGGCTGGCTGTACACCTCTTGTTCCAACCTTCAAAGATGCTATGAAATGCTTCGTTTTGGCGACCTTGGTCCGAAGTATAACCGGCAGCACGTCTCAGCGTTTGTGGACGCAACGAAGCGGGAATCTCGTGTGGCACACGCACGTTGCGCTCAACAGCCTACACGTACTACGGATGCTTTGTGTTGGCCCGACCTCGTGTCCGAAGTGGTTTGGCGACACGTTCCGGTCACGGTATGGACATGAACTTGCTCATGGCGATCTTCACTGTGCCGAACAAACACCTCTTAAACTCGCGCACGCTCGATGATTGCATGCACAAACCACCGCCGTCGCCGTTTCAAAGTATCACTAGGTTTCACAGTAGTTACTGCTGTACGGCGGGTAATGGACCTCTATGTAGTAGTCAAGTGTTCTGCGGCGTGTGCCCGTGGTTCGAGCTGTTCCGTGCTCCCTCCAGATCTTCGAGCACGCTCTCTAGTAGAATATAAGTCTCGAGTCAGTCGTGGCAGGCACCGATGCTGGGTGTGGAAACTCACGATAATATGTGGTCCATATTGTAGTCATAGATACCGTGTAGACAAGGCACCAAGGTAACACATCCCCTGGAGCGATTTTCATAGCTAGACTAAATGGATTACGCCACGACGAAGAGGATGCAAAGAAACGATAAATTTTCGGGAACCTCTCGACGAGACGGCTTCAACGCCGGCGTTTTCGGCGCTGTGACTCTTTCTGCGGTTGAGAAATCGAGCTTTGAAAATCGGTCCAGGGGGTGGGTATGATGGTCCTATGTCGTCGGTAGGCACGTAAGGCACTACGCGATCGTCACCAAAAAACAAGAAAATAGTTTCCATTCTGCCACTCACACGAGCGCGTGCTCCACTCGCTTCTACCGCGGTGTAGCCATCTTGCCCCCAGAGTGATGTGTCTTTAGCGAATGTACCCCGTATCGATAATGTGTGCATTCGACGGCCTCGTCCGACCTCTGGCCGAATGCTGGGCGTACCAGGAGAAACGGGTGGTGCCAGCCAGCAGCGCGTTCCCTTCAACGGTAACGTGCACAGCCTACATAGACTACGGGCTTTGCTGAGAGTCAGCGTATGTATGCAGCAGCTCACATGATCCCACATCGGTCGCGCTCTGTGTGGAAATCAGGGCAAGGATATGGAGAAGGGGGGGGGGGGGGGTGATGCAATGAACGGATTGCTGCCGCATTGGCTACCCCATCGATTTTCTTCAAAAATGGACCCAAAACAACGAAAACACGAAAACCCGGATCGCGTGACACTTGATGACGTGGAAATAGCTCGGAAGCTGGTAAAGAAAAAGAGAGATAGTCTAGACCCAACTTGCTGCAGAGCGCTTGCCACTCAAGTAAGACCCTGGCTCTGCAAGAACCGCAAGCTGACAAGATCTCAATAACTGTCAAAGTCGTACGGTGTCCGGTGTTGCGCACCTCTTGCAACATGCGGCGAAAACTGCAGAGTGCGTTAGAATGACAGTCCCGTGGCTGTGATTGGCCGAGCTGTAGTTGATGTCATCTCGCTGTCGGCTACTCTTCTACACGTCTTCTCTCAAATTAACAGCCCACGCCCCTGCCGCCTTCGCTCACTCCGTTTCCTGCCCACCACATCTCTCAACACCTTTCTCTTCCCACACCACCACCTCACATCAAGATGAAGTCCTGCGTTGTAGCCGCTGCCTGCGTGGCCGGAGCCCAAGCCTTCGTAGCACCCAGGTGAGAACAGCTGTCGCGGGCCTTGCTTGATTGGCGTGCCTTGGGTGATTCTTCTCATGGGACAGACACATCAACGTGATCATGCGCCCTCTTGTTGGTCGCGGTGGTGCTATGATTCTATCGCATGAGCTCCTCGTGTGTCCCATCGCCCAAGGCCCTTCTCCTGCTATTCTGGAGAGCCCACTTGAAGTTTCAGAGTTCCATGTTCAGAGAAGTTCGTACAGCCGAGCCTCCACATGAAAGTTCTTTGGTCGATCATGTCCTCTCTTTGAAAGAAACATTTACCCATCCTTGTCCCCACGCGCTCATGTGCATCCCATCGTAGTAGCAGCCTGACACAAGCGTCTCGGTGCGCAGAGTAGGGAACGGCGAGTTTTACCAGACACAACTTTTAGCAGAGTACCCAATGCGCCATGTGGGTAACTCGTCATGGCTTGTACCTCGCTCCTTGCACACACACAACGCCGTCTCGCCACAACGACCCTAGAATGTGTGCAATCAGTGTTCACGATAAGGCTATGCGTACACGAGCGCTACGACACGCCCGGTTTGAAAAGACGCCAGGCGCCGTCGCTGCCGCTCAACAGACTGTAGTCCCCCAACACCCTTGATGTTGCTTTCGCAACAGGTCGTACGCGTCAGCTGTTGTTGAACCTGTGGTTTCGCGTGGATTCGCCTGCAGCACCTCGCTTCTCTTTTTCTTTTTTTGGTGGACGCTCTCTACACCTTGACCTTTCAGTCAGAATGCTCATGTGGTTGATACACAAAACCAGGTTCGCACAGGAGGCACGTCTCACCGTTGTTTCCTCCTGTGGCGCCTGCCTTCACTCGAAGGGATTCGAACCCACGGCGTGCTTAGCTGCGTAGCTACATTCACACAAACAGCGAGAAGGTTTTGAAGAGTTTCACGAGGCCAGACGAGCTCTGCTTTTATTGCGTCCCACAGCAGTGCCGTCCGTTCAGGGTTAACTGGATGGCACACCTTCCTCATGACAACGATATTGGTTCCCCAAAACTAACACAAGTTAAAATAATCGTTAAAATAATCGCGACACGGGCCATGCGACGACGTGAGAAAGTTCGTATGTGACCTATTCCCCTCACTTGCTGGATCAATCAATAAAAACATGCTCTCCGCAGGTACGTCACATTAATTCTATATGGTACCCTTTGGAAAGCATGTACATGTTGAACTTGCTGAGAGGGAGCCGCAGACCGTTGTAGTGATCCCGCCAGGGCCTTCTCTCAGTTTTTCGATCGTCTTGAAAATATTTTCACTACTTCACGCGATCCTTCCCTCCCTTTCCCTTTTGCCTGTTACCACCCACCCCCACTAATTTACCACAGCGCGTTCAACGGCGCCGCCGTCGCCACCCCGGCGAAGTCGTCCTCGGCCATGAAGATGTCGTTCGAGTCGGAGATCGGCGCGCAGCCCCCCCTCGGGTTCTGGGACCCGCTCGGCCTCCTCGAGGACGCGGACCAGGAGCGGTTCGAGCGCCTCCGGTACGTGGAGGTGAAGCACGGGCGCATTGCTATGCTCGCCATCGCCGGTCACCTGACCCAGCAGAACACCCGGCTCCCCGGCATGCTCTCGAACTCGGCGAACCTGTCGTTCGCGGACATGCCGAACGGCGTGGCCGCTCTGTCTAAGATCCCCCCGGCGGGCCTCGCCCAGATCTTCGCGTTCATCGGCTTCCTTGAGCTGGCTGTGATGAAGAACGTGGAGGGCTCGTTCCCCGGAGACTTCACCCTGGGCGGCAACCCGTTCGGGTCCTCGTGGGACGCGATGTCGGAGGAGACCCAGGCGTCGAAGCGCGCGATCGAGCTGAACAACGGGCGCGCGGCACAGATGGGCATCCTGGCTCTGATGGTGCACGAGGAGCTGAACAACAAGCCGTACGTGATCAACGACCTCCTCGGCGCGGGATACACCTTCAACTAAACCACCCACCCACCCACCCACTTTTGCGTTCCCGACGTAGCGAAGCGTGTCCCGTAGGTTTTGACTAGAAGGGCTGACCGGTTTGTGTTGGTGTCGCGGATGTGTTGGGGGAGAGGGTAGCAGTCCTGTTTTTGATTGCCGCACGTGCCTCCTTGCATCTTAGCTCTCCAATGCAAAGCGTTTTTTTTTCTAGCTTTTTCTCGGGGTTGTAGAATAGACGAAAACACACGCGTACAGACGCAAAGAGGTCTTGATTTTTGACGGGACAACGGGGAGCATGTATACGTTGAAGCGAAACCGTTCCTTGGGGTGTTGAAGACAGGGCCGTAGTCAAACGCAGTCCTTCGCTCCCTATTTTTTCGTGGACGCAAGGGGCTCTTTTTTCTGTTTTTTCTTCTTCTCCCGTGTGGAGTGTTGTTCAGGCTTGCTTTCGATGATTTTGAGTGTCGTGGGAGTCTTTTGAGAGTGCTCTTCCCCTTTTGGGCGATTTCACGCGTGAACAAGAAATAAATGAAAAAAGAAACTTATGTTATGTGCACGTCGTTCGTGCTGCTACGCGGGTAGTGTTGTGGCCCATGCCCACAGACACACACGCCGCCTGACTGTTGACTGGCAAGAGTACCGAGGCCCTCAAGGTGTCGATGAATGCATTTCAGGGAGTCAGCACGTGCGGGTGCGCCCTTTTTTTCGGCTTGGGCGCCGAAAGCAAAACAGAAACTGGCGCGCAGAGTGAAATGCTTTCGTATTGACGACCTCGGTCTGAAGAACAACGAAACCACGCGCGGTAGACGTTTCGTTTGTCGATACAATGAGGGCGCTTCTCTTCTGGCATGTCATGGCATGTGACATGCCCCAACTTTTATAGATGCTTCGTATTGGTGACCTCGGTCCGAAGTATCAAATGTTGGCACATGTCGTTGAATTTTGTGTGTCACAGCCCGGCATCTCTATTATTAGCACATGTACATGTACATACATGTCGTTGTGTGCGTGTGAGCCTACATTTAGTTAGATGCTTCGTATTGGCGACCTCGGGTCCGAAGCGTTGTGACGTGACAACCCACGTTTGTTTGTTTTCGTTCGTTGAGACGTGGTGGACATGAAATATTCGTCACAGGCAAACCTTTGATGATGCCGCCGAACGCTATTATTGGTGGCAACACTTGCCGCGCATCCTACAACACGCGCACCCCGGGAAAAGAACGGGAAAAGGAAGACTACGGACTGCAACCCTCAAACCCGTGCACGAACACTACTAACCAACACGAGTGAAAACGAATGTTGTTCTATTAGTTCTATACTACCGCCACCGTTTTTCCGCCTTCCCATCAATCCTGAGAATCATATCCTAGCCTCTCCGCCCCCTGACGGGACCCCAGATCGAATACCCTGAAGAAAATATTTCCTTTTCTACTACAGTGGTAGGATCCCGATGCGGTTGGCCCCCGATAACTTTTCACCGTGGAATCCCCCCCCAAAAAGGATCCTCTGAATGCTCGTCGCCAGATGCTGAAAGAGTAGACACGGGGAAAAAAACCCAGGAAAACAGAAAAAAAAAAGGTGGACCAGTCCAGCCGCGATCTCCATACCGGCGGGGTTAAGGTCGACTTTTTCTTTTATGTTCTACTTTTTTTTCACCACACCACCACCGTTTAACAGGAACAAATGTCCGAAAGGCGTCCACCTGAAGCTTTCCGCTACGTACGGCAACTCTATCACATATAACCTGTAGGCGCCTACAAAAAAACAGCACTCCTACACTCTATCTGCGCGGACATATATGTATGCATATAGCCGCACTGCGTCCTACTGACCATGACACTCCGTTAGTGCCCACACCACACGCAACAATCCTCTACAAAATACTCACTACTGTACTTCTGCACCGGGAATACATGTTACAATCGCACGGACTATCTACCCAAACACGACAGCCTATAATAATAGCTCATTAATGTGCTCGTAGACTCACACTACGCCCCCTTTTGTCACGAGGAAACAAACGGGTGCGACTCGTCCTGCCTGTCGTTCATTGCCGTTGTGAGGAGGGGAGGGGAGCGGTGGCGGAGAGAAGAGAGTAGAGGTAGCTCTCTCGCGGTACTATAGCAGTACGACGCGCAAGCTCTCGATGTCTAGCTGTATATAGTATCAACAGGTGCATCGCAATCAATCACTCAAGAACATCATCTCTGCCGAAGTTGCCCGTAGGAAGGTTCTTTCCCCTACTACCGCCAACTCGCCCCTCCTCCTCCTCCTCCTCCTCCTCCTCCTCCTCCTCCTCCTCCTCCTCCTCACCCTCCTCCTCCTCCTCAACCAACAACAACCGCCACCGGTGAAACCCTCACAACGGCCTTGTTCTCCATCAATCTACCGTATATGACACAAGATAACACGCCCCCTGGCCCGATTTTCAAAGCTTGATTACTCGATGACGAAGAGGATACATAAACGAAATGATACATTTTCGAAAAGATCTCAACGAGACGGTTCCAACGCCGCCGTTTTCGGCGCTGTGAGTCTTCCTGCTGTTGAGAAATCGAGCTTTGAAAAACGGTCAAGGGGGTGTGTTATCTTGTGTCATATACGGTACTCAAGGTTTGCCGGGACGCGAGGCCCATTGTCGAACTTCCCCGCCCTCCTCGTCCCCCTTTCGCTCAACCACGCACGCACGCACGCGGAAAGTTTCCGTGAACAAACACCACCCACAACAGCCTCCTCTGGCGGCGTTTCGCTTCTGGGGTCAGACATGCTCCGGCGTGCTGCTGTGTAGACCGGCGGCGCGGGTTGAGAAGGAAAAGAAGAAGAAGAAAAGATGCGAGAAAAACAATTTCAAGCTTTCGTTGTACAAGAAACAGATTGTTGTGACGCACGAACAACATGAACTCTACGTCGCGCGTTTTCTGCCGCTTCTCATTGAAGGTCCCATTCCCTTGCCCCCCCCCCCAGCCCAATATCATAAGGGACGCGTGGTCAATGGTCAAATGACCATGGCAAGCAACAAATGAGTACGCCCCCCCCCCCCGGCCCGAAATCTTAAGGTGGCTCCCGCTTGGTT